TTTTTTTGAGACGGGTTTCACTATGTTGGTCAGACTGATCTCGAACTCCTGACCTCAGGTAATCCACCTGCCTCGGCCTCCCAAAATGCTGGAATTACAGGCATGAGCCACTACACCCGGCCCATATGTATATTTTTAAAGCCCTCATCTGTTAGAGATACATAGTGGTTTTTAGGGTTTTCTGAGATTTCCTTTCACATAATCTAGCTGACATCAAAGGAGCATGTGCAGGAAGAGAGATGAAATAATGGTACAAGTTTGATGGTTGTTGGAGCTGGATGCTGGGTATAAGGAGGTTCACTCTACCATTTTGCTTTTGAATTTGAAAGCTTTTATGATAAAAAGCTTTTAAAAAGAGAAAGGGTACCTTGGGTCCAAACAAGTCTGTCTTGAACTGAGAAAAAATAATTTCGTTCCTAACTGACCTTGAATAAAAGGGAATAAACAGCTGGGAGATAGATGGCATGTGTGTTGAAAGAATGAAAGGTGAAGAGATAGGATCCATGGGGCACCCCCAGGACAAAAGGATAACTTAAACAGCAAGTAAAGACATGTAGCTATCTTGGGCTGAAAGGTGAGAGAATTAATTGGTGAAGTCCAGGCTCAGCTCTGGCCCCGAACTCACAAGTCCATGGTCTGAACTTAGATACTCCACCATATCTCAGAGTTGTGGGAAAGCTTTCGTGGAACTGGCAAGAGAAGGTGTTCCCAACTGAGACTATTCCATTTTGCTTGAACAGCACTATGAGTAAGACCCAAAGCTGGAACTGTGCACAGAGGGGCAGGCCTTCAAGGACAGAGGCCTGGGATGAGGTAGGCGTCTGTCCTGAGTTTCTCAACAGCCTCAAGACATCGACTGCGGAAAGAAATTTTCTCTGGTGACTCTATACTTAACCAGTGAAGGTCCAGTCATCTTAAATGATGTAACAAAATGTGCACGTGTAAGTTTTTACACCATACCCTAAATACAAGGATCTCAGAACCCTGAGGAGTGTGGGAGATCCACCCAGAAAATAGTCTTTGAGCAGGAGAGTGCAAGGCCTGGGGCACTGGGTGCTCCCACATTTAAAACCCAAGGAGGGGCCGGGCGCGGTGGCTCAAGCCTGTAATCCCAGCACTTTGGGAGGCCGAGGCGGGTGGATCACGAGGTCAAGAGATCAAGACCATCCTGGTCAACATGGTGAAACCCCGTCTCTACTAAAAAAAATACAAAAAATTAGCTGGGCATGGTGGCGCGTGCCTGTAATCCCAGCTACTCAGGAGGCTGAGGCAGGAGAATTGCCTGAACCCAGGAGGCGGAGGTTGCGGTGAGCCGAGATCGCACCATTGCACTCCAGCCTGGGCAACAAGAGCGAAACTCCGTCTCAAAAAAAAAAAAAAAAAAAAAAAACCACAAAAAAAAAAAAAAAAAAAAAAAAAAAAAAACCCAAGGAGGACCTAGCTAGCTTGCTCTGCCAACCAGCTCTTTCCAAAGGGGAGAGAGCCACCAGGGAAGACAAATATGCTACAGCCTTGGCTAAAAGAGGAGGGCTTGGGAAATAAGGACCAAAGCAAGATAGGCAAGAGCCCATCATTCCTTCAACTTTGACTGTTACCCCTATCGTTAGGAAGAGGAACAGGAAATCAGTTTTAAGACACAACTCCTGGACAGGTTTGTGGACACATCTGGGAAATATAAACCTCTGTAGCCAGGTTGGGAGAGAAATAAAGGGAGAGAAGTAGGGGTGGGAGTGGAGCCACCAGAGAGAAGAGCAGGCTGAGATGCTGGGCCAGGGGCACTCCTGGGCAAAGCACAAGCTACAGGGCCTGGGAGCATGGCTACTTGGCCTCACTGTGTTGCCACCATGCTAGGCACAGCAGGGGCAGCTCCTTAGTGGAGGCAAATCTGGCATCTCTAGGAAGTACAATCTTCAGGTCACTTTGGAAAAAGAGGGGCCAGAAGATGCTATACATCTTCCATAGAGGTGAGATTTGAATGCAGCACTCTGTGCAGTGCCACCAGAGTCCCTAACTAAAGGTGCTCCAGGTCCATATTACAACTACTTGATTACAACAACTTTCACAGGTTTATTGGTGACCCGAGGGAGCCAAGGTCTCCTTTTTGATCCTCACTCCCAGGTGGTATCAGCCTCAAAGGCCTTCTATGGGTAAAAAAGCCGATCACACAATTCATGGGTGTTCCTGAGGTCAGATCTCTCTACTAATTTGAAAAATTCCATATCCTGATTTCAGAGTCAACAACAAGGTCAGAGGCTAGAGTCCTGATAGGCATGGGGCTCAGGAGGCTGCGAGCTGCTCAGCAACACCTGAGGGGCTGCACAAAGTAGAAGCCAGGAAGGCCACAGGAAAATTGCCCCAAGAAGTTTCCAAGAGGGCAGGGCATAGAACCTGGCCCTGAGATGGCACTTTGGGTATGATGGGGTCAGTCACCAAGCGGGGCCTGGGGAGCAGAGAACCTGCCCACGTGCCCTGGGCATGCCAGAGTTCCATGGTCTGGGCTCAGTGGTGCCACCACAGCCTGTCACATGTTCCAGCTCCTCACTGCTGGGACATTTCCAGGTTCTTGATGGGATACAGGTACCACATCACTACCCCGGAAGGGTTGATGATCACTGTGAAGTTGGTTTCAGCTTGGAGGCCACTGATGATATCACCTGTGTAGACATCCTGGGCCTGCAGTGGGGTGGGATATCACCAATGCTACTATGAGAATGGATGCACAGAGGCACACCCCCCCCCCAGAGGATGTAGAAGGCTTCTGCCTGGACTTTGGCCCGTCTGTGCTGGGCTTCCAGTATGCCCTACAGAAGCGGGAGCCCTGAATCTCTATCATGTCTCTACCAGCAAATCCAACAAATGCTCAAGCACAGGCATGGAGAAAGCCCCAGCCCATGGAAAACTGTGAGAAATGTGCCAGCAAGGGCTGACCCGTGGGTGGAGGAGTACAGCCCTAGAGGCTAATGGGACTTATGTGCAGCAGTTCTGTTTGCATAGGTTGAAAACACTGGTACAGAGCATGGCACCAGCTACAGCTCTCAGTGCCTGCAGCTCCCCATGGGCACCTGCCAGAGGCCCTAAGCCCATGGCTCAGGGGAGGCCATGTGTGAACAACCACCTTCCCATAACGCCCTCCCAGGGAAATCGAAGCCCAGGTGGGTAGCTACAGGCAGCTGGACACTCACCTCATACATCATGGACCCACTGAAGTTCAGCTGGCCAAGGGAGGAGTGGTAGTGATAAGGCATATCGGTCCTGCGGCTGAAGAAGACTAAGGTGCTTGCCTTGTTGGACAGGGGCCGCATGTACACTTCGATAAGAGATTTTTCCTGGGCACAGAAGGTGGCTACTGGCTGGGGTCCCTTACTCAGGCCCTACAGTTGCCTCCCTGGCCCTCCCTGAATACTGGGTCACATAGGCTTACGGAGGATGCCACGGGCCTCCAGCACCCCAGCTTATCTAACCCTACCTGCCTGCCTTCCCTGACTCAGCAGACACTCATCTACACCTACTTGGAGCCCAGCCCCCATGCTAGCACCCTGAGACAAATGCTGCATGAGGGCCTGCCCCAGAAGCTCACAGGACAACAAGAGGGATAAATGCAGAAACGGGGAAGCAGCGACAGAGTAGTACATGAGTGCCCCCCCTCAAACAGCTGCCAGTGCTGGCCTGGAGTGTGCTGTCCAGTGGGGTGAACTCTTCCAGGAGGGCGGAGAATGGAGCTGGATATGAACTCCCATCCTCCAGAAGGTTCTCCAGGCGCAGCTCTACCCATCAGCCTCTCTGGCAGGGAATTGTTACTTCCTCTGGGCATCACCAGTTCTATAGGTGCCTTCTGAAGTTCTGTAGGTTTATTTTTACCAGAGTCCAGGATTTCGTAAAGAGCAAAGGCAGCCGGGTGTGGTGGCTCATGCCTGTAATCCCAGTACTTTGCAATGCTGAGGCAGGTGGATCACCTGAGGTCAGGTGTTTGAGACTAGTCTGGCCAACATGATGAAACCCTGTCTCTACTAAAAAAAAATACAAAAAAATTAGTAGGGTGTGATGGCGCACACTTGTAATCCCAGCTACCTGGGCAGCTAAGGGAGGAGAATCGCTTGAACCTGAGAGTTGGAGGTTGCAGTGAGCTGAGATGGTGCCACTGCACTCCAGCCTGGGGGACAGAGTGAGGAAAAAAACTCCATCTCAAAAAAAAAAAGCGAAGGCTTTGAGGTGACAGTGAAGTCCAGTCTTGTTTATATTATGTAGCCTTGGGTTAAAGTTACTCAGATTTTTGAAGTTTCATTTTTCTCATTTGTAAAATGGTAAGATACCTACCCTGTTGGCCAGCCAGCAAAGGTGTCTAGAACTCCCAGCACATGGTAGGTACTCAATAAATAGCTGCCAATAGTAGTCATAGTATTCTTTGGCTATAACAGCTTCTCCTGGCCAGGTTTGGTGGAGATACACCTGTAATCTCAGCACTTTGGGAGGCTGAGGCAGGTGCATCACCTGAGGTCAGGAGTTCGAGACCAGACTGGCCAATGTGGTGAAACCCTGTCTCTACTAAAAATACAAAAATTAGCTGGGTGTGGCAGCGGGCGCCTGTAGTGCCAGCTACTCAGGAGGCTGAGGCACGAGAATTGCTTGAATCTGGGAAGTGGAGGCTGCAGTGAGCTAAGATTGTGCCACTGCACTCCAGCCTGGACAACAGAGTGAGACCCTGTCTCAAAAACAAAAAACCTAGCTCCTCCTCCTCTGCAGGGAAATCCAAGTTCTCTGCAGGCCATCACGGGTGTATAGAAGCCCTGTGCCTCACCCTTCCTGTGTGCCCTTATGTGGCTGATGCCTCTCATTCCTGACTCCCTTGAGCTGTCCTGCTTGGTCCTGCTTTCACTCAGCAAGAGGATGACTGTGGGAGCAGCTCCTAGCAGAGTCCTCCTAGCCTGGTTGGGGGTTAAGCAACTCCTGTACCCCCTCCAAGTATCTCCCCCAGGTGATGCTGTCAACCTTTCTCTCAGGGGAGCTCAGCTCCTCAGCCCTCCCCTTCCTTCCCTCCCCACCCTAGTACCTTGTGAATCCTGCGTCCCTGGATGCCTAAGGGATCCTGGTTGATTTTGATCATGAGTGGATTCTGCAGTATGTCCATGTTCTGGGCGGAGATGGTACGCAGGTCTGTGGACATGAAGAGGGGGGCTGCCAGCACTGTCCACAGGGCCATCTGGGCCCTGGATTGCTCTAAGCTGAGACCAAAGTTCCCAATGAGCAGCTGAGGACAGAGAAAAGGAGTAGTCAGCTCTGATCTCCTCAAGGAGGTAGACACAGGGACCATCCCCAAACTTGTAGCCGAGGAAGAGTGGGTGAGGATTGGGGAAAGATGGCTGCATGTGGAGGCCTGGTTCAGCAAACACCATTCTCCAGCTGTGTGGTCCTGGGGGACTCAAGTCACTTTCTATCGAAGCATCAGCTTTTATTTTCCGTAAAGAACACAATCAGCAGTAGTGGGTGGGCAGGTGGCCAGGTGTAGTGGTTCATGTTTGTAATCCCAGCACTTTGAGAGGCTGAGGCAAGTGAATCACTTGAGCCCAGGAGTTAGAGACTAGCCTGGCCAACATAGCAAAACCTCATCTCTACAGAAAATATAAAAATTACTCAGGCGTGATAGTGTGCACCTGTAATCCCAGCTACTTATTTAAGCATGAGAATCACTTGAACTGGAAAGTGGAGGTTGCAATGAGCCAAGGTTGCACCACTGCATTCCAGCCTTGGCAACAGAGCGAGACCCTGACTCAAAAAACCACGGAGGTGGTTATGCCTCCACTACATCACAGGTGGTTCAGATGATCATATAGGCTCCTGTTGTTAAAAAGCTTTTTTTTTTTCCCCTCTGAGACAGAGTTTTACTCTGTCGCCCAGACTGGAGTGCAGTGGTGCAGTCTCGGCTCACTGCAACCTTCACCTCCAGGGTTCAAGCAATTCTCCTGCCTCAGCCTCCCAAGTAGCTGGGACTACAGGTACATGCCACCACACCCGGATAATTTTTTGTATTTTTAGTAGATACAGAGTTTCACTGTGTTAGCCAAGATGTTCTTGATCTCCCGACCTTGTGATCCACCCGCCTCAGCCTCCCAAAGTGCTGGGATTAAAGGTGTTAGCCACTGCACCTGGCCAAAAAGCTTATAAACTAGGTCAAGTCAATAAATGCTCCAGGGTGACAGTGGAAGGAAACAGAACTGGACAAAGTTCCTGCACCTACCACTGGCCACAACCACCTGCCTTAGCCACAGCTGAATGGACCAAGGGGGACTCCTAACCCCAGGGCAAGCAGTCCATAGTCGGGACATAAGCTACAGGCTTAGTGACAAGAATTTTGTGCCCATCACTGTCCCAAGCATTTTAAGAGTTATTTTAACCCTCAAAACAACCCCATAAGGTAGCTACTATTATTTCCAATTGACAAAACTGAGGCACAGAACAAATGAAGTTACTTGCCCAAGGTCAAGTGGCAGAGCTAGAGCTGGGACTCCACAGTAGGCCAGTTCTTGCTCCTCTAGGCTGTTCCCTCTGCCTAGCTTAGCACTTGTAATTCTTATCATCATAGGATCCATCAAGTAGTAAATGCTTGTTGACTAACAGATAACTATAAAGCTATGAATTGCAAAAACAAAATGGCCCAGGGCAATGACTGAGATAAAACATAAGGGCTAGAAGCAGGACTGTGAGGGCGAGTTGTGCCTGTGGAGGACCAGGTAGGGCACTGACAAAAGGATCAGAGGCAGATGGGGGAGGGCACTCCAGGCACCGGGAATAGCAAGGTCATGATCTTCAACCTGCACAGCAATAACATCTTATTCCAGGGTCACTACAGACCAAATTCTTGAGCTTTCAGAAACATCAGAATTGCCTGGGTTGGCAGGGTGGGGGGGTATGCTTAACAGTGGGCATTCCCAGGTTCTTCCCCTGAAACTTCTGATCCAAAACGTGGGGGATAGGACCCTGGAAAACAGCTAAGTCAAGTCTAAAGCAGCCAGTTCAGGGACACATTTCAGAAGTGCTGACCTAGAACCTGGCAGTGAGCCTCCAGGGAGGAAGAGAGCACAGGGCAGTGGGGAGTAGGGTCTTCACAGATGGTGGGCCTAGGGACATCCCCCTCCATCCTGGTACCATGTCGGGGTCATTCCAGTGCCCAGGGCCGGCCACCGGCTGCAGTATGTCCTGGTGCTGCACAAACCAGTTCAGGATGGAGAGCACGCTCTGCCAGGAGTCCTGTATGTCATCATAGTTGCGCCAGAGGTTGCAGATGTCCACCAGCAAACTGTAGTTCACCTGGATGTCAAGGGGAAGGTGGAGTCCAGCACCAGAATCACACGCTGCAGCCCAGAGACCCACACAGGAGTTAGGGAGACTCAGCGGGAGACACAGAGGGTGGGGAAGGGGGAAGAGAACAGGTCCCATCATCTTGCTCAGGGTGACAAAGGCCTCTGAGACAGTGCCCTGCTCTGGAGCTACCAGAGTCTCCCCTCTGTGCATGCTGGTGCCAGAAGCCTACCCTGCCCTCCTGGGTCTTCTTGTCCACTGGGCACCTCCCGGGATCCTGGGGGCTGTGTGCCAGCACTGATGGCTCTCCTGCCTCAGATGCCAACTCCTTCAGCCCACCTCTCAAGGGCCTCTTCTTTAAGGCCTGCCTCTCCCTCCAACACACACCTCTCTGAGCTGGCTGAGCCCACCCGCTCTTTGCAGGTACTTATGTAGGTCTGTAGACACCTACAGATCAGCATGGGGGCATCTGTGGTGAGAATAGTCCTGGCTCTGGAAGGCCACCTCCCTGAAGCCTGGCACTGAGGAGGCAAGGAGGCCTGGTTGAGGGAAGTACCATCAGGCAGGGTGCAGAATGGCTTACCCTGGGGGGGAGGCCACCTTCGTAGGCTGGCCAGCTGCAGGAGAAGGCAATGGGGCGGCCTGTGGCATTCAGGGCAACAGCCATCTTGGGGTACCCTGGAGAAAGCCCAACCTGTTTCAGGCCTGAGGAGGCAGTCTGGGCCCTCAGCCCAAACCTTTTCCCAGCAGATGTGAGTGAGGAAACAGGCTCCGAAGAGTAGGTGCCTCCCCACGTACCCAGAGCCTCAAATGCTTCCGGGGTGGGCTATGCTGCCACCCCATATATAGGGAACCTGGGAGCCACAATCCCCTTAACCCCTAGGTGAGGGGAATTGGGAAGCTCAGCCAGGTTGGCGCTGGTGGGTCTCCACAGCCACCCGCCCCGTCTACCTGTGTGCCCCAGCCAGCTACATAACTCACCCAGGGCCCGTTCCTCATCTGTGGAGAAGCAGCCATCCAGCTTGAGCATATCCACCTTCCACTCCGCAAAGGTCTGAGCATCCTGGACCACCTTGTCCAGTGTGGTGCCTGGGTAACCCATGCAGGTAAAGTTGCCCATGTCTGCATAGATGCCCAGCTTCAGGCCCAGGGAGTGAACCTATGGGTGTTTGAGGGCACAGTGGTATCAAGCAGGACCCTCAGGGAGCCTCCTCAAGGTACATCTGACTGGGCCCCATTAAACCTTCAGTGGTTCCCACTGACCAAAGGAGAGGACCCCAGCATGCTGGCCAGGCCTCTGCCCACAATGGCCCACCCTTCCCCCAACACATACCTCCCAGCAGCTGTTTCTTGCCCCTAGGTGTTTGCTCCTGCCATCCTCTCTGCCTCCTATGCCATCTCTCTGGGTTGAGCTCAAGAACTGCCTCATCCAGGGAACCTTCCTGGAATCCCAGGCTGAGTAAGATGCTCTTTCTGGCTCTCACTCACCACAGCCGGCCCAAAGTCAGTGTTCATTTGTTTCCCATAGTAGACTGTGAGATCTCAAACAAGGACTATGTAAATGAGCCCTAAGCAAGGTAGGGTGAAAGGGGCAGTCTAGCCCTGAGGCCAAGGGCAGGGCTGGGGTGCAGCTCACGTAGTCAGCCAGGAAGGGAATGCCATGAGGGAAACGCTTGGGATCTGGCATCAGGCGGCCACTGGCATCACGCCCACCAATCCAGCAGTCATCGATGTTAAGGTATGTGTAGCCCATGTCCCGCCATCCATCCTGTGCCATCCGGTCAGCCATCTCCATGAAAAGCTGCTCACTAGTGAGGGGCAGAGGGATGGGGCAGCTCAGGGACCCAGCTCAGTCCTCACCCACACCCTGCCTTAGCTCTGATTGACTCTGGGTTATAAAAACCATGACCGAGCTGGGCGTGGTGGCTCATGCCTGTAATCGCAGCACTTTGGGAGGCTGAGGTGGGCAGATCATGAGGTCGGGAGTTAGAGACCAGTCTGGCCAATGTGGTGAAACCCCGTCTCTACTAAAAATACAAAAAAAGCCGGGTGTGGTGGTGTGCACCTGTGATCCCAGCTATTCAGAAGGCTGAGGCAGAAGAATCACTTGAACCCAGGAGGGGGAGGCTGCAGTGGGCAGAGATTGCACCATTGTACCCCAGCCTGGGTGACAGTGCAGGACTCCGTGTCAAAAAAAAAAAAAAAAATGACCAGCCGGGCTTGGTGGCTCAGGCCTGTAATCCCAGCACTTTGGGAGGCTGAAGTGGGCAGATCACGAGGTCAGGAGATAGAGACCATCCTGGCCATGGTGAAACCCCATCTCTACTAAAATACCAAAAAATTAACTGGGCATGGTGGCGCATGCCTATAGCTCCAGCTACTCAGGAGGCTGAGGCAAGGCAATCACTTGAACCTGGGAGATGGAGGTTGCAGTGAGCCAAGATGGTGCTACTGCACTCCAGCCTGGTGACACAGCAAGACTCTGTCTCAAAAAACCATGACCTTGCTGAGGCCTAAGCCAGGTATCGGTGTAAATGACCACCAAGGATTGTGCCATGAGCCATAAGCAAGCTGGCTTGAAAAGTGTGGCTGGCCCAAAGCCAAACCACTGACCCAGGCCTCCCAGACAAGGGGCCTGGCCTGACGTTTTAACAGTTATCTCATGGGCTGGGTCCTCAGGGCCTTTGGCCCCAGGCCAAAAGGCAGGACTGGGTCAGGGGGATTACAGGGGGCCTGGCCTGACCTTTTTATCTCATGGGCTGGGGCCCTGTAAGGTCTCTGCCTCATGACCAGGTTGGGGCCTGACAGTCCCTATAGAGGCCCCAGGTAGGTCATGGGGCTAGGCTGGGGTTAGGCATCTGACAGTCTAAGTGACTTCTGTCTGCAGTCTTTGGGATGGAGAACTATGACCCTGCCTTCTTTTCTGGCCGACCCTCCACCTCCTGCCCCCCACTCTGCAGGGCCCTGGGCAAGGCTTGCCAGGTGGATGCAGACCTTACCTGATGCAGTTCTTTGGGTCCTCATCACAGTTAATGTTGCAGCGGAAGCGTTCCCAGACCAGCCAGCCCATGGGTGGCGTCTGCAGGAGCCCATTGTCCAGCATCAGCACCTGGGCCACATGCCCCAGCAAGAGCACTAGGGGGCCAGGGAGGAGGGGATGGTGACTGCCAGTGGCCCCCACAGCTCCAGCCCTCATTCCACCCTATCCGTATGTTGCTCAGCCCTACAGAGGCTGCCTGCCTATATATTAGGGAAACTGGTCTCTTGGGTTTAGCCATTCTTCCTGCAATGACTGGCTCCTGCAAAGCATTAAGTAGGAGGATGGTGCCTGGGCCAGGCAGTGGTTTGAGGTCTGGCCATCACCAGTGCTCGAATTAGCAAAACAAACACTTGAAGCTACTTCCTTACTATACCCCCCATCAGCTCTTCCCATCCCATATACAGAACTTAACTATACAGATGCTCCTAGGCCTGCCATGGAGCTACATTCTCATAAACCCAGCGTAAGTTGAAAATATCACTGGGCGCAGTGGTTCACGCCTGTAAGCCCAATACTCTGGGAAGCCGAGGCAGGTGGATCATTTGAGGTCAGGAATTCAATATCAGCCTGGCCAATTGGTGAAAACTTGTCTCTACTAAAAATCCAAAAACTTAGCCAGGCATGGTGGCGTGCACCTACAATCCCAGCTACTCAAAAGGCTGAGGCAAGAGGATCACTTGAACCCCAGAGGCGGAGGTTGCAGTGAGCTGAGAACGTGCCACTAAACTCTAGCCTGGGCTGTGACAGAGGGAGACATTGTCTCAATAATTTTTTTTAAAAAGAAAATATTATGTCAAAAATATACTTAATATGGAGGAAGCAACCTGTTGAGCACCTGTGTATTGAATGAAAAATACATATATATATATATTCTTAATACACCTTCTAACTTGCCAAACATCATAGCTGGGCCTACCCTGCCTTAAAAGTGCTGACAGGCCAGGCGCAGTGACTCACACCTGTAATCCCAGCACTTTGGGAAGCCAAGGCAGGGGGATCACCTCAGGTCAGGAGTTCAAGACCAGCTTGGGCAACATGGTGAAACCCCATCTCTACTAAAAGTGCAAAAAAATTCGCTGGATGAGGTGGCGTGTGCCTGTAATCCCAGCTACTGGGAGGCTGAGCAGTAGAACTGCTTGAACCTGGGAGGGGAAGGCTGCAGTGAGTGGAGATTGCACCACTGCATTCCAGCACACTGTCCAGCCTGGGTGACAGAGTGAGATTCTATTTTTTTTTTTTTTTTTTTTTTTTTTTTTTTTGAGACGGAGTTTCGCTCTCGTTACCCAGGCTGGAGTGCAATGGCGCGATCTCGGCTCACCGCAACCTCTGCCTCCTGGGTTCAGGCAATTCTCCTGCCTCAGTCTCCTGAGTAGCTGGGATTACAGGCACGCGCCACCACGCCCAGCTGATTTTTTGTATTTTTAGTAGAGACGGGGTTTCACCATGTTGACCAGGATGGTCTCGATCTCTTGACCTCGTGATCCACCCGCCTCGGCCTCCCAAAGTGCTGGGATTACAGGCGTGAGCCACCGCGCCTGGCCGAGATTCTGTCTCAAAAAAAAAAAAAGTGCCAACAAGGCACATTAGCCTACAGCTGGGCAAAACCATCTAACACAAAGCCTATCTTATGATAAATTGTTGAATATTTCATGCAATTTACTGAATACAGAAAGTGAATGGAATGGTTGTATGGGTACTGTGGTTTCTACTGAGTATGTGTCAATTTCACACCACAGTAAGGTTGAAAAATCGTTTGGGACCATTGGCCAGACTCCTGGTCTCCTAAGCCCCAGTCCAGAGCTCTTTGCTGTCTATCATAGACCCTCAAGAATCCTCAGGGAGGCTTAAGAAGTAAGCCAAGGCCGGGCGTGGTGGCTCACGCCTGTAATCCCAGCACTTTGGGAGGCCGAGGTGGGTGGATCACGAGGTCAAGAGATCGAGACCATCCTGGTCAACATGGTGAAACCCCGTTTCTACTAAAAATACAAAAAATCAGCTGGGCATGGTGGCGCATGCCTGTAATCCCAGCTACTCAGGAGGCTGAGGCAGGAGAATTGCCTGAACCCAGGAGGCGGAGGTTGCGGTGAGCCGAGATCGCGCCATTGCACTCCAGCCTGGGTAACAAGAGTGAAACTCCGTCTCAAAAAAAAAAAAAAAAAAAAAAAAAAAAAAAAAACCCCGACAAAAAAAAAAAAAAAAAAAAAAAAAGAAGAAGTAAGCCAGCCAGGACAGACACACAATCACACAATCAGCTCACTTTTCCCTTTTCTCCCTCGGGCCTCAGTTTCCCTATCTGTAAGATGTTTCCTTATCTGTGGGGACTGTAAAGGCCGTTCTCCGCACATGTTGATATCACATCAGTTAGAGCCTCTGGACTTAAGGGAGAGGAGATGAGAAAGGAAGGGCCTCTTTGAAGGGAAACTGATTCCTGAATGGGCAAGCATCTTCTCCCTTCCTGACCAGCTCCAAGAAAAAGAAGAACCTGTCTCCCCACATAACCACATTAGGGAAGAAGGGCCAGTCAAAGCACTCCTTGCAGCACTCACGTCGACCCTCCCAAACCACCCCAGCCGGTGTAGGTACCTGTCTTCAGCAGCATTGCTCTGGACGCAGCGTCCGAGGACCTGACCAGGTCTGCTCTGCGAGTATCAGTTGTATGTGTTGGGTTCTGGACGCTAAGAAACGTCAGAAAAGCACTGGGGTCACGGCTGCCTGGCTAGCCCGGCCACCCTCAACCTTGGGCGTGGATCCTACACTCCGTCCCCAAGTTCCCTGCCCTATCACCAGCCATCACTTCCCGGAGCTTGAGTTCTTCCTTCATAAATACTAAACAATGTGTCTTGGACGTCAGACCTCACTCTCTCTGCAGTGGTAGGAGCCCCGAGCGCCCACGGGCCGCCTTCGGAGCGGCCTGGCCTCAGAAAAAGGGAGTGACTGGCTCAAGGTCGTCCAGGAAGAGCGGAGGGGTGGGGCTGGGTCCAGGCTCCGGACTCCCATCCGGGTCTGGGTTCCTGCCCTGGGCCCCCCAAAACCACAGAGTCACCGCCTGCCGTACTTACCCTTCAGAAGCGCTCAGTCCCGCGGCAGCTACTGTCTCCAATCCTGTAACCTGAGAAGCCCGCAGCGTTCCAGCGGGGCGGGGCCTCACGAGGACAACCCTCCGCGCAACCTATCAGAATCCCCCTAGCAACGCTGTGCCCCGCCCACTACAGGATCGCCCTCCCAGTGCCCCGCCCTCCGGCCGCCCCCCTAAGCCCCGCCCCACTGGGCTCCCGCCCTGCGCGCTAGCGAGGCTGGTATTGGCAGACCGGGTTTGGGACTGGATGTCGTTTGTGGTCCGCACCCCACGAGGCCTGCCCTTCCATCTCTGTGGGGACCACGAGGGCGAGGATCGTGCCAGGCTCACCGTGGGCGCTCAGTAAGCGTCTGTGCAGTGAATACCTGCTGAGGGTTTTGTGCAGAGGAAATGAGAGACAGCCTCAAGCAAGGCCCCCGCCAGCTGCTGGGAAAATGGAAGTCGAGTATTAATAGTCTACAAGGAAAGTTCGTGGGAGGCAGCAAAGCAGGCGGCTCCCCTTCTCTGCCTGAGGGTCAGGGACTGCTTGCACGGGCTCGGCTATTTCTTTCTTTATTCATTCATCAGGTATTTATTGAGAAACTGCTAGGTGCCAAATGCTTTGTTCTGGGATTGTAAGGGCAGAAAGGTGTGATATTTTTCTTCACTCATCCCAAGGGTCCCAGCGGACACTCCTATAAACAAAAGATAGGTTAGCAAGTGAAAAGCATAACAGATTGATTTACTGAAATGTTTTATATGACTTGAGAGTCTTCAGAAGACCCAAATATTCAGGGAAAACTTTATGTCTCAGTTTGATGAAGAATGCACGGTCCTGGCCGGGTGCGGTGGCTCACACTTGTAATCCCAGCACTTTGGAAGGCTGAGGCAGGCGGATCGCTTCCTGAGGCAGGAGGGCAGACATTTAAGAACAGCCTGGTCAACATAGTGAGACTCCATCTCTACAAAAAATTTAAAAATTAGCCTGGCAGTTTCCTGTGGTCCTAGCTACTTGAGAGGCTGAGGTGGGAGGATTGCCTGAGCCCAGGAGGTCGAGGTTGCAGTGAGCTGTGATTGTGTCACTGCACTCCAGCCTGGGCAACAGAAAAAAAGGGATAAGGAATGGACAACTGTGTATAAACGCGATTAGACAAAAGGGAATGGTTTAATGGTAACAGCTGAGTGTGGAAACCCAGCAAGGTCTGTCTGTTCAGATTCTTCTTGTTCTCTCTGTGTGGCATTCCCTCCTCCTGGAAAGAGGGCAAGACCGCTTCTGGAATGAGAGTCTTACGACCTAGTATTAGACAGGGTAGGTCAGAGGATTCCTTTATGGCTAGGTCTGACAGAAAGGTGGGGGATGTTTCCAGTAACATTTGTAGTTTCTATAACTCACCTTGGGGAGGAGGAATTTTAGTTTCTATGGCCTGCCTTGCAGGAGAAAGAAAAGCAAAAGAAGGGGGGCAGGAGGTCAGAGAGAGAGACTTTGCTTCTGAGGCTCTTCCAGAGTCCTTTGGTTCAAAGTACTCAGCACGCCCAAGTGACATATTTTTAGGCATCGCTTTCTGAGCCCCAACAGCACCTTCACTCAGATGGCCACTGGGCATCTCAAACATAACCCAGACCACATACCGGCCACTTCCCACATCTCAGATAATGATAACTCTCCTAGGTGCACAAGCCAAAACTGCGCAGTCCTGCCTGCTCTTTCCCTCACGCCCCACATCCAGCCCCTCAGCAAATCCTGTGTTCTCTACCTTCAAAAGCCATTCTAAATCTTGCTGCCTCTCCCTCTCTTCTCTCGCCACCCTTATGACATCTTGTTTGGATCGTGGCAGCAAGCTCCTCACTGGTCTTCAGCTTCCACTGACATGGATTCTCTCCACAGCAGCCGGAGCAGCAATGAAATCGCTCAGGTCCCTCCTTACAGCACTGTCTAGACCAACAGCCTCCCAGATTTACACTGTTAAAACACACACTCTGAATGGAGAGATTCCTCCCCACCCCCCCAAACAGGCTTTGTGTGAGCAACATGGCTGTTTATTCACCTGGGTGCGGGTGGGCTGAGGTTCTTAGCTCCGTCAGACCTTACATTCCTGTCTTTTTATAGTAGTAATATAAAGGAAAAAGAAATGAAGAGTGGAGGGCAGTGGACTATTAGGGAGACCGGCACAGAGGGGTGATGGGGCAATGTTTCTCAGGGTTTTTTCAAGTGGGATTGGGAGCGGTGTGGGCACCTGAAAATGGTAAAGAATTTAGACTGCTGGGAGACCTCAGGGCAAGGGGTGATATTGTGGGGTTGTTAGAGGGATCATTTGTCATATTGACTGATTGCTTGTTGCTTGTATACAATTTTGTAGGAATTGAGAGATTAACTGGAAAACACAGGGTCCAAATAAGAGAAGGAGAAATATAGGTAGCAGAGGACTAAGGACTGGAAGAAGCCATGACTCCATTAGAGAGTGTCCAGCCAGTCCAGCCAGCTCCAGATGGTTATCTGCCTGATTAGTGAGCTTTTGGGCTCTTTTAATTTATTGATGGCATCATATACAAGGCCGGACTGGTGTACATAAAAACAACATTCTTCATTTAGAAATAGACAAAGACAGTGCTGGGCGTGGTGGCTCACGCCTGTAATCCTAGCACTTTGGGAGGCCGAGGTGGGCGGATCATCTGAGGTCAGGAGTTCAAGAAATAGACAAAGACCTCCTTTTTCAGGAGTCAGTAAATCAAGACCTCTGAGGTTTTGGAGGACAACTGCAATTAGGGAATTTACGTGAGCTTGAAGAAGGGATAGTGATTGAGTTAATTCTGCAATGCTAGCAGAGAAATCATTAGAGAGGCTAGGGAGGGAGACAATTGAAGTGGTAAGGCCTGCTATACCTGTGCCGAGTGCAGTAGTAACTCCTAACCCTACGAGTAAGAGGATCAATGGAAAGACCCCCTTGTGACATGTCAGGACCACAGGGGGAACCCGGAGGCTTTCGTCTCCGTTGGTAAACTGAATTTTGGGCTTAAGGAAAACTAGGGTACAAGTGCCTGTCCAGTTGGTAGGAAGGCAGATGTAAGAACCACAGAGGAAAAAAAGTCCTTGGCTTAGACAGAAAGAACTGGAGCTGTAAACTGAAAAGATGAGAAAGTGTTCTAGGGGGTGCTGGGTTCTTGGACCCAAATGCCAAGAGAAACAGCAAGGGCTGCAGCTGTTCAAGGTTGTAGTGGGGCTTGGTGGGGTAACTGTGCAGAGGGAGAGCTTTTGTTTTCCTGGTGTTTGAGAAGGCCTGCGGTATCTGTAAGTAACCACTCACCCGAATGAACAAGATTGAGGACGAGCAGAGAACGGGGGCCGGATTAAGAGTGAAATATCGGCTGTGATTGCCCGGAGGAAAAGTGTAAACCAGCAGCCTAAACAGAAGCAGGGCATGTAAAAATAAATGAGTGCAGTGAATTTGAGCACAGTTAGACAAAATAATAGAAACAGAAATTTTCTGAGGTGTGGTTTAAGTAGGAAGGGCGACCACATAAAGCTGGAGAAGGCAAGGGGCTGAAAGTGTGTGAGGTGTGAAGAGGAAACTAAACTTTGGAGGTTGTGAGAGCTATAGAGGGTAAGTGGGGCGGAGCCTGTGATTTTGAGGGATTCTTTTTTTTTTTT